TTACAATTGATGCGATTTTATCTAAAGTGGCTTGGAGTCAAGGGATTGATTGTAACAATCTAAAAGGGTGCCTGTGGTCAGGAACCACCCAGCGCTAACAGCAGGTGTTTTGGCAGTTGCTCTACTAGGGGCTGTGATCCTGAGGGTCCAGAGCTCTCTACTTCACATGTGCCTGAAGCTCAAGCTAAAATGTCCTCCTGGCTTTATTTTAGGTCCTTGACTAAACTTCCGCCATCTTCCGCCCTCTGCCTCTGTCAGTTTCCAGATCTGGGTGAGCCGCCCCGGAGCTTGGCCTGATTACAGCACTATGGGGGTCCTTGGGGCCAAGTAGGATTCTCTTTCTTGCAGCTGTGTGAACCCAGTCCTGATACTGGGTACAGAGAAAAATGATGGCATTATTCCTGTGGCTAGAATACTCCTCCAGAGACAGGGAGGATTTTGTTCTGATGCCACTCCATAGTCCTCTTGTCTGCCCGAATCGCTTCTACAAGACATCATTGAGTGCAGATTCCTGACCTTGGAGCAGATCAGCCTGGCGTGGCTCTGGGCGTGGAGCAGCCTGCTCAGTGGGACCATGAGGCCATGGGGCAGACTCATGTGATCGCCCATCTGCTCTCAGGTGGGTGTGCGAGTAGCTGCGACAGTGGAAAAAGCCTCTAAAACAAGCGCTTTAGCCCCATTTATAGATGTTCATAGATGTTATAAATGTTTCTTATTTCTGAACTTGCTTATTGGGGCCAGCATACACATAGCCATCCAACAGGTACTTTCTGAGTCCTCTGATGTTCGAGTCCCTGGGCTAGGTGGTAAGTGTGATTCAAAGATAAAATATTCAGGCAACTGTTGCTCCGGACTTACAATTTTGAAAACAAAGGGCATGTACTGTAGACATCAAGACAAAAACGTGTTGTCGTAAGAAGTACAAATAAAATGCAGTCGGCATTCACAGCGGGACCCAACTACTTCCTTCTGAAAGGATTAAGGGAAATATGGGGGCCAAGCTGACATTCTGTCTGGTCTCAACCCTGGGGTAGGATTTGAAGGCTGGTGCAGGAGGCATAAACGGGAAGTGCTTCATGTTTAGCTGGAGAATAAAAAGCAAGAGAAAGGAAGAACTTAATCAAGTGGTAGGGGCAGATTGAGGGAAAATCCTAGGTAATGAAAAATATCACAATGTGGAATTTGGGCTTTATTCTGAAGACAAATTTTGTCATGGAAGGTTTTGAACAGAACAATGGAGGGCGGAGCCAGCCCTTAGAAAAATCACCAAAAATTGTAGGAAGAGGGAGGCTCCAGATGAGCATGAGGAATTTTCCAAGACTCACTGAGTTGAGCGGAGAGTTGGCGTACTTCCCCACCCTCGGGCGCCTCCATCTTTCTTCCCTGTGCTGGGGTCTAAGCCACCTGATCATGTGCGCTTTCCCTCCATGACAAATGCCTTTTCTCTTCCTGATGGACCCCCGTCTGGCCTCCCTCCACTGTAAAGCATTGCCAAATGGATTTAAGTCAAATTCTGTGTAATAAAAACATAAAGTAAGGCAAAATAAATGGGAATGTTTTAAGTAACATGCTCTGGCATCTCATAAAAGCCTCTTAAATTGATTACAAAGAGAGCATGGTGTAGACTACAGAAAAAGGAAGGTTTTATGGGAACCCTGGCAGAGCCCCAAAGTGGAGCTGCACTGTGGTTGCTGCAATCATAATTCTTCCTCGGATCAGGTTTTGTGCTTAAAATGCAGGGCTCTGCACAATGAGTTTTCCTTCCGTAACCGGGCATATATTTAAAAACAAAACCCCACGATGGTTAGCAATTCCAGACAGCTCTGACCAGGCTCCTGTCGGGCATCTAGGCTGCTGAAATCTTCAGGTCTGTTTTCTAATGATTGGGAAAAACCAGGAGTGTGAAAGCTTTATCCCAGTGGTTGGGAAAGATCTGTATTTGCATCAGTCTGGGGGCGCTGATTTTGCATGGCGCTTAGCCTTAAGCCTGGTATTCAGTACAGGGCAAAATGCTGGCACTATGCCTGCCGCTGGAAGGCTCCCCCAGATATGGAGAAGATCCACTTTGGAATCTTCTCTCATCTGCCCGATCCTATTCTACAAGATGCTAGTCCTGTGCAGACCCTTGACATCAGAGCAAATCAGCTTGGCCATGGCTCTGGGCTTGGGGCAGGACTGACAAATGGAACCATGAGGAGGATCCCTGTGTTCTGCAGTGACATGAGGACCACCTGACGGCCACAAGATCTCTCTGGGAATGGGGGTACCTGGCTAGGCTTCCACTTAACAGAAGTGGAATATCTTTTAAAGTGGGTGTCAGACTACCAGAGAAGGTGATGTACTACAAGTTAAACCGAAGAGGCCAACTGAGGTGTTTTCTATGGAGTGTTCAGATTGGTGCTTACGTAGTAACTAGAAGACCAGGAACAACTCCCACGGCTGGACTATGCCCACACGCTCAGCAGACACCAGTACACTCTTCTAAGTGTATCTATATTCTGGTCCCTACCTCTTGGGAGATAGATCTTGTCCTTATAGCTAAACCAGGGGATATCTTTTCACAAAACTCCTATTAATTTGCAGTATTTTTCCTCAAGAGGGTAAGATTCTTCCAGTAAATCTAGAACTCTTCTGCTTTCTCTCTCATTTGCTCTTGCTCTCTCTTGCTTCCTTCTTCATTCCTTCCTTCCTTTCTTCCTTCCTTTTTCCTTCCCCCTCCCCTCCTGTCCCCTCCCTTCCCTTCCCTTCCCTCTCTCTTCTTTCCACATCACCCCTGGGAGTCTACTAAGTGCCACTCTGCTAAGGGCAAGGGAGGACAAAAATGAGCAAGGTCCAGTCCTGGCATGCCCAGAGCTGCCAGTTCATGTGATGATTCTCAACCAGATGTGCACCTGGTCAGTCACCTGCAACATATAAGGAAAAAAAAAAAGATTCCTGAGCTCCACCCTAGTTCTACTACATTGAAATATTTAAGATTGCAGCCTAAGAACATGTATTTCGAAAAAGTCTTCCCGTGTGTCTTTGTTATGTAACCAAGGAAAGAATTACAAGCCTGAGCCAGGCGTGGTGGCTCACACCTGTAACCCCAGCGCTTTGGGAGGCCGAGGTGGGCGGATCACGAGGTAGAGAGATTGAGACCATCCTGGCCAACATGGTGAAACCCTGTCTCTACTAAAAATACAAAAATTAGCCAGGCGTGGTGGCATGTGCCTGTAGTCCCAGCTACTTGGGAGGAGGCAGGCGGAAGAATCGTTTAAACCTGGGAGGCAGAGGTTGCAGTGAGCCGAGATCTCACCACTGCACTCCAGCCTGGTGACAGAGTGAGCATCTGTCTGAAAAAAAAAAAAAAAAAAAAAGGAAAAGAAACAACTACTAGCCTGTTGGAGAAAAATAGTTACAACATTATATGATAAGTGCTGGAATGGAGGTATAAAAACAGAGATGTGTCAGCAAAGAGAGGTCTATTGATTCAGTTAGGAGATGGATGTGGTCAGGGAAAACTTCAGAGGTAATGCTTGAACTGGGTCTTGCAGGATGAATAGGAGTTTGCTAAGGCATTATAAGGGCAGCGAAGGGAGAGTTCTTTAGATGCACACACATGAAGGGAAAACTGATTCATTGCAGGGGCACCAGGCAGCGCTCTGTGGCTGCAATGGAATAAGCAAATGGGGAAAGCTTTGGGGCATGTCCAGATGGGTGACTTGGGGCCAACTGATGCTAGTTTCTGAGGTCTTGCCAACTCATTCGTATTTTCCCCTTATAAACCATAGGACAACTCTGAAGAATTTTAAAGAGGGCATAATCAAATCACATTTACATTTGGAAAAGATAAACTAGGGGCCGTGAGATGAGGCTGAAGTAGACGAGATCCACTAGGAGATTGTTAACATGAATCCAAAAGACAGATCCAGCATCTCATATGACCCAAAACTCTAAGGACAAGATGGATTCATCAGAACCTTTACAAATGTGTCCAGGTTCTTCAGTTTTCACTTATTCTCATGAAAATTTAATTAACAGTCCATTTTCCATCTCCCTATTACACCATCAACCACACATATTTGGTGGGAGAAAAGGGTCTACAAGCCTCAACCAATACACGCACTGGTCTTCCAGTCCTGGGTCCTCAAGATTGCAGCCAAGATAATACCGCTGTCCCTGAGTCAGTCAGCCACTTTACTTCCTGCTCACTATTCACCAAGTGTTTGTTGAGCAACTATGGCAGGTAATAGCCATACAAATAATCAATGCCTTCATTTGGTGCAAAAGATGTTTTCAAGAAGGTACAAGCTTTCTTTTCATGGTTAAATCAAGAAGAGCTTGTTACATTTATTGTCTTATGAACACATCCCCTATCTTATGTTCTTTACCCAAAACATACCGAATTGATCAAGAAAATCCCAGTGAATGAAAAACTCAGAAGAATTCCCATCGAGCACACAATATTCACAAGAACAGTTATTAAACAGCTCAAAGACAACTTTTAAATCAAATGCTTATCTAGATCCAAGAAATTTGCTTGAGTGTGCTTCAAAAAGCTGTATGACCTAAAATTAAAGCAAGTATAAAAAGAACAAATTCAAAACTTCAAATGAATGAGGTTAAAACCATCTCTAAGAAGAAAATTTTAAATGGAAGAGCAGATGTGTTTAAGGGCCAACTGCTGAATAAAACTGACAACCCAAGGATTACACATTGTGATTGAATGTTACAAACGAATGCTTCAGAGAACGGCAATAGATACAGTGATGTTTGTAATATATGCCAGGTTTGTTAACTGAGGTCTGCAATTTGGTACCCAGGTTGCTTATAAAATGGCTTCTTTTATGGTGAAGAACATGAAAAAGCAGCAAAAATGGACTGAAAATTGCCTGCAGACTTAAATTAGGCTCATCAGCCTAAATTGTGATTTTTATATGCCTAAACAATGATGAGATCATCAGAGGTCAAAGCAAGCTGCAAAGCCCTAGAGAAGCTATTAACAATTTAGCGTATTCAGATCATGTGGAAATTTTAATTCCGTTTACCAAAGATACGTGCAGAAATGGTTTTCATGATGATTAAGACCTGTAACTGTAAAAATGTGAAATTTATAGCATCATAAAATGGTTTGTGTAAAATGCAAATATCCCAGCTGGGTGGGTTGGCCATGGAGGTCGCAGTTGGGTTCCTGCCCAAGCTCATTACCATTCCAAGTTCAGCATGGGGATTGTTTGTTTTTTATTTTTTAAAAGGGCATGTTATTCTTAAGTAGCTTCTTTGATTATCTTCTGAGCATTGTGATGGCCTCTTCAAATAGTGAACAGCTGTGCAAAGCAAACACATAAGCAAAAAGTATGTTAATTTGGGGGTAAATTAGCGCATTTTCATATATTCTTGTGATTACAACATAGTATATTCAAGTTTTAGTAAGTTAATATTACATTATCTGGTATGCAAAGAGGAGTGAGAACCACTAAGGTCACATGTTTATGGACATAAAAGGTTGAAAGGGGCACAGAAAATGCTTAATAAGGGATAGTGGAAATAGAGAAAATGAAAGACAGAGTTAAGGTTGGCATTCAAAAGAAAAAAGAAGGGAAAATAGATGACTTGTAGGTATTGGCTCAAAAGTGTGGCGAGAGACAGCACAGAAACTGGGCCTCCCGAGCAAACATGACTATTACTGTTTAGGACTTTCTCCTTGGTTCAGCGAAAACGAGGTCTTTGTCACACAACCATGAGAGATTAGGCTTGCAGACACTTTGAAGAATGAGAAAAATGGAATTTGTTGGACAAAAAGGGAAAAAAGGGAAATAGGAACTCTCGGCAAAGCGAAAGTCCTGCTAGCTAGCTGGCTTCCCACCTCACAGATAGAATCCCAGGTACCACACTGGAACTGGAAAGGCCAGGCTCCTCCCCTACCCCTGGGGAACCTCGTGAATTTCAAGAGGCTCCACACCCAGGTGGGTTGGAGGTTCTCCGGTAACCCCTTTATACTTGGCTGTCTCATTATCCCATAGCTTCCACTGGCCCCATCCTTTAGTCAATCAACAGTTAATACATATTTATAGGTACTTACCAAAAGCTCGATGTCCAGGAGCAAGGAGCGAAAAAATAGATAATTTCCTGGGGATAACTGCCTCATCACAGACCCCTCTCTGGGAATAATCCCTCTCTCAGCTCCTACAGAAGGGGCAGGACTTGGCAGCCTTCCAGTCATGGCTGAGTGGACAGGGTCCAATTTAATGGTTGCAGGATAATCAATCAGTTTCTCTCTGGAAAATTAGAACTGAAGACACTGAAACTGTGTTGGAAGTGGATGCTGTACCCATCTTATCACAGAGTTGGGGTCATTTGGGAAGGCATTGAGGTATTTCAGGTTGCCACAATGAACAAGTAAGGAGATGTCACTGGCATTCATTGGGGGATGCAAAATATGCACCAATGCACCTGACAATCAGCTTAACACAGAATTGTCCCACCCGGGCTGCCTAGGGCATCCATTGGAAAAACACAAAGTCAAGGAAAGATGTTTTTGTGTGTGGCGGGGGGAGGACAGGCATGGAGAGAAAGTGGGCTGAGAAAGGAGACAGAGGAACACAAAGATGAGGGAGACCCCATGGCTCTGAAGGCTGGTGAGACGGCTCTGTTCCAAGCACCCTTCCTGTTGTCTGCAGGTCTGCTGTTCCTCCTGCTCTTCGTTCTGTGGTGGTGTGAGATGTTACTATAACCTTCTAATAAGGCATTTATTAAAAACTTGACCTAATTTGAGTTGAATTAGTTCTTTGCAACTAAATGAGTCTAGACTTAGAAAAAAATATATGCCACGATCCCTTCCCCAACAAGCTTAGAACTCAGTGGAGAGACAGGACAGCATAGGTGAACATCACATAGCCTTACATAACACCTTCAGTAACGAGGCTGGTGTCCCAGTGACAGGATGGTTGTCAGTCTGTGCTTTACTAAAGGTAGCATAATAAGCTATCTCTCCCACAATGTATGGTTAAATACTCATGAAAATATATCAAATGTTTCCCCACTCCTGCAAAAAAAAAAAAAAAAAAAAGATAAATAGAATAATACGTATATATACTTGGGATGCGTAACAGAACGCAGGAAAGGTAGGTTTTGGGGCGAGAGCTGTTTGTTTTGTTGTTTTGGTTTGGTTTTCATTTTGAGAAAGAGGTCTAGGCCCTGTTAGTGCAAGAAACAGAGGGGAGAAGACCCAGCCAAACCGAAACTCTGAAGCGCTGCAGGGTCCTGCCTCCCACCACCCCTAACCCCCAACCCCCAAGTTCTTTCACTTGCTGTTTCCTTGGCTTAGCACTGGGATAGACAATACTGTCTGCATAAAAGCCAATTCTGGAAAAATAAGTATGTTTGCCTTTCTCCCTTTCCAACAAAAGTAGCAATACTGTATACCATAAAAACAAAAATGCAAATGTACAACCTAAATGATCTCACTTTTTTTGTCATAAGGGTATCTCAGGGGGACAAGTGGCACACACATATTCAAATCTGTGTATTTTGCTACACACATATTCAAATCTGAGTTTATATCAGAAGAACTAACATGGAAGCAACTTTCAGATCCATCCTCCTGGAACTGGATTGTAGACTGAAACAGAACTTAGTAGGTCCTGTAAGTTAACAGTATAGTTGCTTGAAATGGTCCCAATTTGTACCTGCTACAGAACTATTAATAATTCCTCACCACCACCCACCCAAGAAATATCAAAGGTGTCCCAATCCAGATGATATGGTCACACTAGCCATGAGGCCGGCAAGACTCAGACCAAGGAGACAAGCTGAAGACCCAGGGAAGGAAGGGTATTTGGGCTCTGGAAGCAGCCAGGCATATCTTCATTTGAGATTTTTGTTTTATGGTTTGGTTTTTTGTTTTTTTTTTTTCTTTTTTTTGAGATGGAGACTTACTCTGTTGCTCAGGCTGGAGTGCAGCGATGTGATTTCAGCTCACTGCAACCTCTGCCTCCTGGGTCCAAGTGATTCTCCTGCCTCAGCTTCCCGAGTAGCTGGGATTACAGGTGCATGCCACCACGCCCGGCTAAGTTTTGTATCTTTAGTAGACACAGTGTTTCACTACGTTGGGCAGGCTGGTCTTGAACTCCTGACCTCAAGTGATCTGCCCACCTCAGCTTCCCAAAGTGCTGGGATTACAGGTGTGAGCCTTCGAGCCCAGCTTCATCTGATTATTAAGAAAGATTTGTTCTGCACTTAGAAAGCCTCTGACTGTGCTGGGGGCTACAGAAACATCAGAAGAATCCGGGCCTTGGAGAGCTCCAATCCATACACTGATATATCTGCTTAGGATGTATCAGTGAGCAAAATGGACAAAGACCCCTATGGGCTTAAATTCTAGGAGGAGGAGACGAAGTGAGCCACATATACAATAAATATGTGGTACGTAATATGTTAGAAGGTGATAAATATCATGAAAAAAGAAAAAACAATGCAGAGAAAGGAGATTATAAGGGTGGTGAGGTGGGGCGATTCAAGTCACAGGAGTAAATACACTAGTCAGGTGGGTAAGCCTTTTTAAGAAGATTTTATGTCATTCAGCAATTAGCTCATTTGACGGTCCCATATTGCCAACAGGATGATCATGATTTCCATGGTGTTTCTGAAATTTTAATGGCCATACAAATCTGGGGATGTGGCTAAACTGGAGACTCTGATTTAGTAGGTCTCGCGGGGGGGTGGTGGTCAGAGATCCTGCATTTCTGTTTTTTTTTTATATACTTTAAGTTCTGGGGTGCATGTGCCAATCTTGTAGGATGGTTACATAGGTACACACATGCCATGGTGGTTTGCTGCCTCCATCTCCCCATCACCTACATTAAGTATTTCTCCTAATGTTATCCCTCCCCAATCTCCCCACCCCCTGCTATCACTCTCCTAGTCCCCCACCCCCTAACAGACCCCAGTGTGTGATGCTCCTCTCCCTGTGTCCATGTGTTCTCATTGTTCAACACCCACTTATGAGTGAGAACATGTGGTGTTTGGTTTTCTGTTCTTGTGTCAGTTTGCTGAGAATGATGGTTTCCAGATTCATCCATGTCCTTGCAAAGGACATGAACTCATCCTTTTTTAAGGCTGCTTAGTATTCCATGATATATATGCACCACATTTTCTTTATCCAGTCTATCCTTGATGGGCATTTGGGTTGATTCCAAGTCTTTGCTATTGTAAACAGTGCCGCAACGAACATACGTGTGCATGTGTCTTTATAATAGAGCAACCCCATCAAAAAGTCGGCAAAGGCTATAAACAGGAACTTTTCAAAAGAAGACAATTAATGCAGCCAACAAACATGAAAAAATGTTTGTCATCACTGATCATTAGAGAAACGAAAATCAAAACCACTTTGAGATACCACCTCACACCAGTTAGAATGGCGATCGTTAAAAAATCTGGAGACAACAGATGCTGGCGACGATGTGGACAAATAGGAATGCTTTGCACTGTTGGTGGGAGTGTAAATTAGTTCAACCATTGTGGAAGACAGTGTGGCGATTCCTCAAGGATCTAGAAATAGAAATTCCATTTGACCCAGCAATCCCATTACTGTGTATATACCCAAAGGAGATCCTGCATTTCTAACAAGCTCCCAGGAGATGCCAATGCTGCCGGCCGTGAGACCACACGTGGGGCCATGAGGAGCTACAGGGCAGGACCATGCCTTCCATTTCTGTGGGGTTTTTCTCAGCACCCCATCCCCTGCACGGCTGGAACAGGTGCTCCATAAATATGTATTGACTAAACGCACGGAGAAGAGTGACGTAGCATCATGTCAAGCAGTATTAATGAATAGCTAAACTATAATGGTTGACTCCGTTAATGGATTTCTTTTCAGAGGCAGGGCCTCATCATAATTACGTTCGTTTGGACTTCACTATAACAACATTTAAACCATACAGAATTAATTTAGTTTTAAATGGGGATGTCATTAGTGCTCCTGAAAGATTTCTTGTCCTGGAATTTTAAATGAATTCATCATGAATTTAAATGTGTTCTCTCTACAGCCTCAGGGCTGGCCCTGTGCTTAGAAAATGACCCATCTAGTATAATTTGATGAGTGCTGGAATAGGCCATCTGCTCAAAAATACTTCCTCCCCTCACTCCAGAAAATTCAACATCCTAGTTTCACTTAATAAATCACGAATAATTTGATTGATAATCAGGTCAGGAAATATTTACACAATACTTACAACTTCCCAAGGACCTTGGGTTGTAGAAAGATAAGACAGTTCCTGCCTGCGAGGATCTCTCAGCCTGATGTGAAGACAAGAAATAGCTATTTAAAGATGTGTGCACAATTTAAAGCTATTTGTTAGAAACTCTAAACTTTTATGGAAAGGAATAACTTTCTAGTTCCCTAAACGTGGCAATCAATCACCAGGAAGTTTCTTGAAGAAGGAGATAGAGGGATGATATAGTCTGTCCGTATGGGGACTTTGGAGTTAGCCATGGGTGCTAATTATGTGCAAATTGGGTACATTCTAGTGAACTGCTTCCCTCTCTAAGCCTGTGTCCTCATCTGCAAAAGAGTAATAATAACCTTTGCCTCCCTGTGTTATCTGAGACTTATTGAAATAGCATATTCACAGCATTTAGGATACTAACACTTTGTACAATGCCTGAGTAGATATGAGATAAATGTTGGTTCCTTCCCCCTCATCATTTCCTTGAATGGAATAAGCTGTGTGCTTCACTCCTTCCTTCAACAAAACTCACCAAGCATTCACTGAGTCCCAGATATCAGGTCAGATGTTAGGGTTAAGATGGCAGATAGAAGCGTGGCCCCGGCCGGGCACGGTGGCTCATGCCTATAATCTCAGCACTTTGGGAGGCCGAGGCAGGAGGATCATGAGGTCAGGAGATCAAGACTATCAATGAAACCCTGTCTCTACTAAAAATACATTTTTTTTGGTAAAAATACAAAAACTTAGCTGGTTCATACCTGTTGGGAGTCTGAGGCAGGAGAATCACTTGAGCCTGGGAGGCGGAGGTTGCAGTGGGCCGAGATTGCGCCACTGCACTCCAGCTTAGCAAGAAAGTGAGACTCTGTCTCAAAAAATGAAGAAGTGTGGCCAGTCTTCACACCATCCTATGGGGCACCCAGAGAAGTAAAGGCACATGGCACAGCCTGCTCAGTGCCAGGACAAACACCAGGGCAGAATTCTCCGGACAGGCTGGAACTGAGTGGAAGAATGAGAGGCCTCCCTAGGAGGGATGCTGGAGCTGAGTCTGGAGGATGACCAGGAATTGGCCCAGAGAAGGTATTGGGGGGATTCTAAGAAAAGGGAACAGCACAGCCAAAGACCCCCAAGCCAGGGAAAGCAAGCACAGTGGAGGATGCGGACAGCAGGGGCGGCTGGAGGTGGAGGTTAAAGGGCAGGGATTTTGATCATCCCTTGGAGACATTAGGATTTGAAGCTAACAATGGAAGTGAGAATAGGAAGAAAAAGATGGGCACAGGAGACACCCAAAGAAGAGTAGACAGGATCCTGGAGGAAGGTGTCCACGATGGCTCTGTTTTGCAGCCCTGCACCTGCAGGTGAGAGCCTTTAACAGAAGAAGACCTGGGAGGGCCAGCGGCAATGGCCCCAGCTTCAGACCCTCTTCCCTACCAGACCAGCCTCTCTTAGTCAGTTGCTAAGCTGACTTCTTGAGGACCACTTGAGGCCAGGGTCATTCTCATGAATGACTGCCCTTCTTTTGAGTCTTCAGTTTCACCCTCTCTATTAGCATTCTCCTCTGCTTAAAAGGATGGTCTATAGCATCCTGTCTTCAAAAATAAACCCAAACTGAACCGGGCACAGTGGTGCACACATGTAATCCCAGCACTTTTGGAGACCAAGGCTAGGGAGGACTTAACATCAAGAGTTTAAGACCAGGCTGGGCAACATAGCAAGACCCCATCTCTAAAAATAAAATAAAATGACACTAAGCCAAGCTTTCCCAAACCGGCTCCCCCTTAAGTTACTGCTTTCTTTATTCTTGCCACTTCACTGCAGGACTTTTTACAAGACAATCTTCATTCCTTGCTTCTACCTTCACAACAGGCTCATTTCATTTTAAAAGCAACTCCTTCTGTCTCCCTGTTTTACTACAGAAATTTAGAAAATACACAGAAAAATCCCTCATAGGTCTCAGTACAGACATAACCACTGACTACTAATGTACAGATTCCCTCTTTAGTCCATTTCTCTGTGGAGCTACAGAAGTAGATGGTAGGTGGATAGATTGACAGATTTGTTGCCGATTTTTTATTTTACAGATTTTGGCTCATATTTAATATAGTGTCTTACACCCTAAAGTTTGATTTAACACAATATTGTACTCCTAGGTAATTAAATATTTATAATAATGGTAATGGTTAACTGACATTTCATCTCTGATATTCAAGTTGGATACTTGGGCAGTTTTCATTTCCCACAATTATAAATAGTGCTGGGGTAACTAACCTTATGCCTCCATCTTTGTCTATACGCTATGCCTAGAAATAAAATTTTGAGCCAAAGGATATGAGTTTTTTTGTTTATTCGTTTGCTTTCAGACAGGGTCTTGCTCTGTCACCCAGGCTGGAGTGCAGTGGTCTGATCTCAGCTCACTGTTGCCTTGACCTCCTGGGCTCAAGCAGTCCTCCCACCTCAGCCTCCTAAGTAGCTAGGTTTATAGGAGTGTGCCACTACACCCATGCCTGGCTAATTTTGTTCTTTTTTTTTTTTTTTTTGAGAGGGAGTTTCGCTCGTTGCCCAGGCTGGAGTGCAATGGTGCGATCACAATCTCGACTCACCGCAACCTCTGCCTCCTGGGTTCAGGCAATTCTCCTGCCTCAGCCTCCCGAGTAGCTGGGATTACAGGCACCTGCCACCACGCCGGGCTAATTTTGTATTTTTAGTAGAGACAGGGTTTCTCCATGTTAGGCTGGTCTCGAACTTCCGACCTCAGATGATCCACCCACCTCAGCCTCCCAAAGTGCTGGGATTACAGGCATGAGCCACCACACCGGACTTTTTTTTTTTTTTTTTTTTTTTTTGTATAGACAAGGTCTCAGTATGTTGCCCAGGCTGGTCTCAAAGTCCTGGACTTGGTGTCCCACAGTGCTGGGATTACAGACAAGAACCAACATGTTCAGCTGTGGACATGAGTATTTTTGAAGGTCTCAATACATGGGCACATCAATGTATACTCTGTGAGCTGTTGGAAGGGACATCTTAACTAGCACAGGTGATTACCCTTCATTCACTTAACTCTTCCATCTAGTTTTTTCCTTTGTGACAGTGACAAAATTGCTACCTTTCCAGGTTCTCTGGCGATTTTCTAATTCTTGACTCCCAAAACTTCTTTTGGTGCCTTCTCCCTCTCGCGACCTCTCTGTCTCTGTCTCTGTAGGGCTCCACAGCCTTATCTTTCCCGTGATGTCCTCGCCTCCCTCGCCACTCATGCCTCTCCACTGCTCTGCAACCCCCACAACCTCTCTGGTTGCTTCTCTCTGCCCTCGCCTCCTAGGCTACAGCTCCTCATGTGTACCCTCAGCCGCCACTCCTTTTTTTGCATTAAATACATGAACACCCATGAAGAAGCAGATGCTGCCCTCAAAGAGGACAGGCCCATCATAAATACACATGAGGTCAGCAGAGTCACAGGGGTACAGCGACCTAAGTCAGGTGGAGAGAGTCATTCAAAGGAGCTGGCCACGTGGAGGGAGGAGTATGGCTTGGTGAAGAGGAAGAGGAGGGAAGAGACACAGCAGACTGAGAAAAGAGATGTGACTTTCCTCCCTGGTGCCCCAGGGCTGTCCCCGTCCCAGCAGTTACCTTGGCAGGACCACTGAGAGGCCACAGGCTGTCTGACTCCCTCTGGGCTGCGTCCCTTGCTCTGCTTTGTCCCTCCTGATCCCACCGCCACTGCAGGGAACGTGGACAGCTTAGCCCGGCCAAGGACAAGCAGCTCGGTCTCGGCAGAGCCACAGCAACTAAGAGGCCAGGACAGAGGTCTCTGGGCAAGGGGGAGCAGAGGGGAGCACCAAGCCACAAGCAGAAATCCCCAGGCCCTGGGCAGGTTGTGTGGCTCGTGGTGGTTTCACCTCCCCACCCCCCAGTTAGCCCTAGTTCAGGCTCAGGACAAAGTCTCACCCTGCTCTGCTCAGTGTTCAATCAGGATAAAAATAGTAAAACCACATCTGCCATTCCTGGCAATCCTGCCACGATCCATGATGAGTCCTATTAAAACATCAAGAACAGGAACAGCACCATCGATTGAATACAGAGATGGGGTGAGAGGCCACGTCCCTCTCTCTCCTTCCCATTACCTACAGCATTTTTACACCAGAAGAGACCATTACTTAGAAAACCGTTCCTGTCATCCTTAGAACAGCCAAAAGGCTTCAACGTCTTAATGGAAAGAAAATTATTGGTATGATCATAATCAAAGACCTCAACTCCCTGGGGGAACGTTAACCCTTCTGTATCCAGCCCACCCTGCAGAAACAGCAGAGATCTGGTATTTGCAGAGGTAACATGGCGCTTTAGACTCCATGTCATCAGTCACTTAGCGAGCATCTCTGTGTGGCTTTGTGTTTTAAAAACTGGCTGTTCATTTTTATGGGGAAGATTTTATGCTTGGGAGAATCATGAAGGTCTCAGTGTATCTCTTACAAACAGAGCTGTGTATACATTTTAGTGAGGCATGTATATTTCATTCATTTATGTAAAAATACTCGAGTGCTTACCGTCTGCTAGGCAGAGTTCCAGATGCTGGGGGTGGGACCTGAGTAAGGCAGATAAGGCACCAACTTAATCTATTTGAGGAGACAGAGAAAAAAGTAGGAGATACGTGAGTAAGATAATTTTAGACTATAACACACAGAAAACAAAAAAAGGCTAGCGAGTGATTGAGGGTGGGAGGACTACCTTAGACGGGGCAGCCAGGGTCTCTGAGGAGGGGACATTTGGATTGAGACCTGGGCAAATAAGAAGCCAGCCAGATGATGTGGCATCTTCACCCCTCTGAGCTGCCATCTCCTCATTCTGTAAAGTGAGGGCACTGGGTGCCAGGTCCTCGGAGGGGCTCCTGCAGTGCTAAGTTTCCACCGGCAGAGGTGAGGAGGTTAGTTAAGCCTCTTCTGACGTTGACTTTGAGCTGTAAGTCCCTTGGCCAAGGCCTGCCTCAAGTCCCTTTTGGAAGATACTGGCGAGGTTTTCAGCAGGTCCTTGCTTCTGGTGAACAATGCCTAGCTGAGTGGTCAGATTCAATGTCTGTAGGAAACAATGTGACAATTCCTCAAAAAAAAAAAAAAAATTAACCATAGAATTAGCCTACGCTCCAGCAATTCCACTTCTGGGTATATGCCCAAGAGAACTGAAAGCAGGGGCTACGCCTTGCGCCTCAATGTTCATGTCAGCATTGGTCACAATGGCACACAGGTGGAAACAACTGAGGCGTCCACCAGCTGGTAAGTCTGTGAACAAAATATTCATCACCCTCAAAAAGGAATGAAACTGTAACACGTGCTACAATATGCAGTGACCTTGAAGATGCACTAGGTCAAATTAAGTCTGACACAAAAGGGTATATTATGATTCCATTTACACAAGGAACCTAGAATAGGGGTTGCCAGGGGCCGAGGGGTGGGAGACTGGAGTATTATTGTTTAATGGATACTGAGTTTCTATTTGGAGCATAGAAAAGTTTTGGATATGGCTGGTGGTGATGGCTGCACAGCAATGTGGATGTGCTTATTACCACTGAGTTGTGCGCTTCAAAAATCACTGGAGGCTGGGCGCGGTGGCTCACGCCTGTAATCACAGCACTTTGGGAGGCTGAGGAAGGTGGATCACGAGGTTAGAAGATCGAGACCATCCTGACCAACATGGTGAAACCCTGTCTTTGCTAAAAATACAAACAAAACTAGCTGGGTGTGGTGGCGCATGCCTGTCGTCCCAGCTACTCGGGGGGTTGAGCCAGGGGAATAGCTTGAACCCGGGAGGCAGAGATTACAGTGAGCCGAGATCGCATCATTATACCCCAGCCTGGCAAAAGAGTGAGACTCCATCTAAAAAAATAATAATAATTGGGATGGGTGAAATGATGAGTTTTGTGTTATACATATTTTATCACTGGGGAAAATAGTGGAAGATAGATCAAGCAGAGGCAGTGACAAGCTCACTCTCAGATGTTAACTAAGATGTTAGATGTTTCAAATAGACTGGGTGGTGTGCGGAGACCAAGGACCATGCCAGGTTTCTGAGGCACCTGTCAGCCCTCTAATTCCACAAGCCTGCCTGGCTGTCATCTCCAGGACAGACCTAGCAGATACTGTCAGAGGAGCAAAGGGCTGGAACCTCTAACTTGGGCAGGGCTGGGAAGGAGATAAAACCCATGCCGAGTCCCTGCTGATCCAGTGTACCAGACACACAGGTTGGGAAAAGAACCACTCGTCCCTGCTGTCACTTCTGGCGGCTGGTGAGGCTCTCAGGGAGAGGTCAGCCAGGGCACTGAGCCTAGAAAGTATGGTGAGGGTGGCAGAATCCCTACCTGCAGAAGCAGATCCTCCCAGGTGAGGCAGATGTACAGATTGCCAGCTCTCTGTGTGGTCGTCTGGGAATGTGTCAGAAATGCCCATTCTCAGGCCCCACCCCAGACCTCATGATCCAAAACCCTAGGCCAGAAGCCAAAACGATGTGTGTTTTAGCAAGTTTTCCAGCAGAGAATTCTGGTGTTGGCAGAACATTGGTGAACCACGGCTCTGAACCAATGCAGAAAAAATGCCAGGGCACTCTTCAGGGTATCTGCTAATGTGTTCAGTGGGCTTGTACTGAATGCAGAGCCCCAGCCTGTCTGCAGCAGGGAGACACAATGCAGCCATCTCAGGGAACATACATTCCCATGCGGTTCTAGGACCCTGGCCAGCTGGGCCCCCACGTGGCTGTGAGCTCACTCAAGTCTGGGGCACCGGGCCCCACCCCTCCTGGAGGTGGATCCTCTGGGATGGGCACATTCCACAAGGTCTGCCAGAGCCCCTTCCTCATGAGTGCTGTGGCGCCATCTGTACACATCAAGCCAGTGTTTTCCACAGCTCACTGCCCCCGGCCAGGCTCCGGGAATGCGCCTGGTACCCCTGCTGCATAAAGGATCCCTTCACAACACCTAGCTCAGGTCCCAAGACTTTCAGGTGACTTTCAGATTTTTCAAGCTCATTCCTTCCCAGTTTGAGGCTTCCCATCCCAGGGACATTTCATAGTTCATCTTGCCCTTCCCCCAAAGTGCCAGGACTCACCACCGGAATGGCAGCAGGACCTGGCTGAGGATGCCTCTTCCATCTCTTTCCTTGGGAGCTGGAGGAAGTGTCAGAGGAGTGGAGAGGTGGGGCCAGGCTCCTCTCTGCCGGGACTCAGCTGCAGTTCGCTGCTTGTCAGGCCTCCTTCCTCAAATATCCTTCATGTGTCAGCTCCCGTGGCTGCCTTCAAGAAGCACCAGATTTTGAGTCCTTGAAGAGCCCAGCGGAGCCTCTGTATGGCTCAGTTCCCGGGTGTGGAAGAGCCTGCTAAGCCCGACACAGTGCCCCATTCCTCTTCAGCCTCCACCGTCAGAACAGGCCCCAAGTCTCTTGCTGCTAGGGTCTCTTGGCACAAGGACAGGTGTTTCGGGTCAAGGTAGGGACAAGATAATTTGCTGCCAGTTCTCCTTCATGGGGTCTTCTGGACCAGTGGAAACCCACTTGGCCTTGCCACCTCAAGTGGAGTGGGAGGACTGGGTGCCCCAACGCCACCCTCACTTTGCTCTGACATCTTTCTCCTGTTGATGTGGGCACAGGATAGGATGCCCGCTGTCTGGGCAGCATCTGAAGAGAGAAAGGACGGCCAGCAGGACTAGCCACTCCGTTTGCAGGACCAGGCCCAGATTTGTTTAACAGGTATTAAGAACGCCAAGATGGCGAGAGCAGAGCATTAAACCAAGTGAGGGGCCATTCTGTGCGCGTGCACGGCTCACATGCCTGCGAAGCTGGCCCTGAATCCAGGCCCCCTCCACTCCAGCCCACCACGCTAGAGGGTTGTCCTGGGGCATTCCTTCTCCAGAAGGAAAGCCCCCCTTTCCCACCCTTGACTTGTCTCATGCCGCAGGAGCGCTACCACCCAGGAACTGTCCCTCCCCTCGCTCCAGTCATCTCCTCGAATGGGCTGAGGTTCCCACCAGGCATGGTGCCTGGGGGCTGTAGGGACAACTGAGCAGTCTCTTGGGTGCACCCCCGAGGTGGCTGCGTTCATAATGTGGGTGGACTAACACTTCACACTCTTTACTGGAGCTGCACTCACAAATCTAGGGCAACAAGAAAAGTCTCCTCAATGTCCTTAGCGTCAGGGTGCTGGGACTTCCCAGGCCCAGCCGCGATCAATTCATCCAGAGCAGGGCGCCTGGATGGGCTGGTCAAAGGGGCCCCTGGTGGGATTCTGAAATTTGAACCCAAGAGAGTTGTCTACCTCCCTCTCGTGGCTGACACTGAGGCTCTCACCCGTGGTCGCTGGTGGCTGGGTATGACCCATGCGTCGTTGAAGTCGGATGGACGCCAGTCTGCAGAAAAAAAGAGAGACAGAGAGAGGGAGAGACGGAGAGAGGGAGAGACGAAGAGAGACAGAGACCGGAAGAGGGGTGGGTAGAGAAGGAAGGAGACGCAGCTGGTGACCTGCTTCTGGCTGAGCTGCGCTAGTTATGTCCCGTCCAGGGGCCCGTAGTCTGAGTACTTCCGTGATGCGTTCCCCTTGAAGCTTCCGGAAGTTACGTTACTGTCATTTTCCCTGAAGAGTCCAGACTAATGCTACTCCTCACTGAGGAACGGTGCTTCTCCGCCGCTAAGAGTCTAACCTGTTTAGACATGATTTCCTTGTAACTGGAGGGAATAAAAGAAGAGGAACCCGGAAGAAAACAGGGCCTGTGTGGGAAGGAGAGTGGCCTCAGGGTTAGGGGTGCTGGAAACCCTCTAGGTTCTGTAGGGCTTCAGGGCTTAAGAAGTTACCGTCGCTTACTGATACCGCAAATGGTTTCACCTGTAAAATGGAGCCACTCTACCCAGTTTGGTAGTGCTGTGTTTTTAGCTAAACCGTAGTCTGCCAGTCTTGCTCATATGGCAGCCCTCTGTTTGGGCTGATTTGCTTATGCTGGGCAGAATCACATAAACCCTGCCTCACCTTGTCTTCACAGGTTGAGTGCAGCTTTTGAATTTATTCTTTCAACAGTACCCAGAGGTCTGATAGCAGGCACGGTGCTGAGCTCCGTAGATATTATGGTGAATAAGAGAGGCCCATTTCCTACCCCCACAGAGCTTGGCAGACGAGTCAGACTCTAAGCAACTCATCACACAAGCAATATATTAATGAGCACGGTAATAACTGCTGCTCCTTATTGTTCCAGGGATATGAGATTCTGTAATAGGAATCCTGACCACCTGGATTTTCCTTTTTTGCTTTTCTCCAAATTCCAAAGCCTTCCATCTTTTCTGTGAGGTTTCCAGACACTTACTACTGCTATTATTACTATTATTCCAGAAACAAAGACATTTTCATCCATTCTATCAACTGCTATCCCCAGAGGCCCAGGAAGCAGTCTTCAAGCTGTACTTCCAATACTAGTCACGTGTATAGATCATGTGAAATATAGCTGGTTCAACTGAGGATCTTAAATTTTAATACAATTTAATTTAACATAAATGTAAAAACTGAAGCAGTAGAATATGTTTTTCCATTAAACATACTTTATTATTTTGTTAGGGCCACATTTCACTTTGTTGAAAATTTAGTGTCCACCTGCACTAGGACATTTATGGCTGCACTATTCATAGTAGCAAAGACATGGAATCAACCCAGATACCCAACAACGGAGGATTGCATGGAGAAAATGTGGTACATACACACCATGGAATATGATGCAGCCATAAAAACGAACAAAATTTTGACCTATGTACCAACGTGGTTGCAGCTGGAGGCCATTATCCTAGGCAAACTAAGGCAGGAACAGAAAACCAGATACCACATGTTCTCACTTATAAGTTGGAGCTTAAACATTGGGTACACATGGACACAAAGATGGGAACAATAAACACTTGGGATTCCAAGAGGTGGGAGCAGAGGAGGGGAAGGATTGAAAATCTACCTACGTATGGGGCACTGTGTTTACTACCTGGGCTGTGGAATGGTTAGAAGCCCAAACCTCAGCATCACACAATATACACATGTGACAAACCCGCACATGGGTGTATTAAAAATACGAAAATTACGCTTTGC